GATGGATTTTTGAGGACAAAGGAATTTCCTTGGGAAGACTTGCGGTACAAGAGCTCTTTCATGGCATCTCTTTGGGTTTCTTTGTCCAAGGAATTTGAAGGGATTCCATTTTTTTAATTAAAGATCATTGGATTCAAGTGTATGAATATTGCTACTACACAACTTCCTTTTCTCTCCCTTTTTGGTTTGTACTTGTTTTTAGCTGACTTAGGCCTTTTCATGTTCCCTTCTTTGTTTTTTGTATTTCTTGAGGATTCCTTGTCCTCTCATGTAAGTTTTATTTTGTGTTAATAGTATTTTCTCATTTCCTATCGAAATAATAATAATAATAATGGCTGTAGGGTCTGACAAGGCTGGTTATTTAACTGATGTGAGACAAGCTATAGCACAGACCTTTATATGGACCTTTCAACACAAAACATTGTTGGGCCACATTATAGCAGTCAGCAGAGTTCGACACATCAGAATGTTCTATCCTAACTATGCCTAGTTCGAGGGTTTGTTATCTGCCTAAACCAATTTTTATTGGTAGACGCATCCTATTTCTCTTCTGGTTGTGTCAGGTTTGGGTTCCTGGAAAACTTGATATCCATAATTAGTGGACAGGAATATGCTTGCCTTTTAGCATGGACAGGGTGAATCAGTTGCCGCAGCTGTATGAACATCACAATGGTCTATTTATGAATTCTTGTTCAAATACGTGTATTAATATTCGAGTACATGTTTTTTTACAGACAAATGTTTGGATTTAGAAAAACTGTGGAGTCATTCAATAAGTTGTAAGATTAAAGGAGATACTGGATTGGTTTGTGGAATAGAGTTTCAGCATGAGTATAGGAGTTGGGACAGTGCAACTGCCGAGAAGTTGGACATGGGAGTTTGTGATAACGTCCATTGTGACGTCCAAATGATGGTTGATTGCAAGTGTGTGTGGTGCATGCTAAAGAACCAAGGGAAATAAAGTAAGGATTGAAAAACCAAAAGCAGATGGATAATAGTTTTCTCAACAAAATGGAATAATTAAAATGTAGCTACATCTACATGTCTACATAAAGAAAAACTGAAGGAAGTAAAATGACAATGAAAATAGCTAGATGATAACTTATGTTACAAAAGGGCACAATTGTTTTTTTACTGCTGTCCCTTCCTTAGGTATGGAAAGATCCAATTTTTAACGTCGAGTGTTAAGACTTGTGTGATGCTAGTATTGTCTTATTGGGTGCGATCAAGCCAAATTTAGTTGGTCGAAGTGTCTTGCAGATGATAGCTTTGTCAACATGACACCTCAGTTTTAGTGATGAACCAAATGCCATGCAATTATAGTAAGCTGGCAGGGAACCTGTGCTGGTGAAAAGGAAAAGCTTAGCTGTTTGTTTAAGTAAATTAAAGAGAATCTAATGTATGCATTAAATCTGTACAAATTCAGTTGTTATGATGTCAACTTCAAATGCCCCTTACAAGGCACACAAGTTGGTGGCTTGAATCTTCAATGGTACGAATCTTTTGTTAAAGCCAACCTTGAGCGAATCTTTAACTGAAGACTCTTGAACCAAAATGGTACATTATTTCTTATTACCTTAGTTTCGTTTTCCAGTAAGTATTACTATATATCAACTTGCCAAATAGGTGTAATTAGGGATTCTTTTGGAAATGAGTTCAAACATGCAGAGTGGTATTTAACAATTGAAACTTCAAAGTTGAGCTGGTTTCTTTACCTCATGATGGTAGAGGCCAACTTTTCGACTTTTTTAATGTCATGTGTGCATGTGCTAGTGAGACTATTGATCATTTGTTTTTGCATTGCATTATTGCCTTGTTTTTGTGGTCCAAATTATTTCAATTAGTAGGCTTGAGTTGGGTGATTCTTAGGACATTTTCCTCTATATTAGTGGAGGAATTCTAGGGATTAGGAAAGCAGAAGAAAGGGGTGACTATGCTTTGTCTAATGTTGGCCACTATATGGGTAATATGGTTGGAAAGGAATTCAAGGATATTTGAGGATAAAGAAGAGTGAAAAGGAAGGTTTATGGGATCACATTTATTTTTTGGCATCACCGTAGGCTTATGTTTCGAAGGAGGTTGATGGCATCCTGCTTTTTTGTATTTTTGGAGATTGGAAGGCCTCATGTGATACATAGTATCTATGAGCTGAGAATTGTTTTTTTCCTGATCATAGATGGATACTTTGTCCATCTATATTATTTATTATTCTATGATGTATCAATTTTAAATTAATAAAGTTTTCTTGTTTCTCATTAAAAAAAAAAAGTTACAGAAAAATCACACTGGAGCTTCTGGAGAGTGATATATGCCAGTTGTGCACATGCCATCTGTGCAGGGCAACTTTTCTAGTCCAGTGCTATTAGTGGGTTTCTTTCCTGTTCCTTGATTTGTATCCCTTGGTTAATGAGAACTTGGTTGGGGACTCAACATTTTCTGACTTACTTCCAGAGTTTGGCTTTCTTGTGAAATATCTGTGGCAGAATCAATTGTCTTCATATGTAGATTTGCCTATGATATGCTGTTTATTATCTCTTTGTATCTAAGAAGCAAGTTTCTTATCCCTGTCCCTGAGCATTGAAATCCCTACCTGTGGCTTTCCACTCATTGGAAGTAAACAAGCTACAAGGGGGGTTGCTTATTATCTCTGTGAATACGACTCCATATTTTCTGATTCATCTAAACTTTTGTTGTTACTATTTCTAACGCTGATGCTGCTGCTTCTTTACCACTATCGATACCAATGTATTTACCTATAACTTCTCACAGTGATTGAATTCTCCTTGTAGGATACAACTTGGGCAGCCTGCAACTGTCAAGGTTGCTGCAAACCTTGTCAGATTACTATCGTACAATAACAAGGTTTGTTTTTTGCTATCTCTGTTTGGGAAATTTGGTAGTAGATTATGATGAGATCTTAGATGTTCACAATATTTTGTAATACAGTCAGATAGCAAGCCAGAGTAAAAATAGTCTCTCTTAGGGCCACCTGATTGTTGGAACTCTATCTGACGTTGTATCATGACTTACCATTTAATTTGTGCTGCCAAAAAAAATGCCAGCAAGATGTTCAAATTGCCTCGATGAAACTTTTTGCTTCATTTAATCAATTTGTTGTTTGTCAAGAATGAGATATGACATTTGCACTAAAACAAACATCAGACTCCTATCAACATTGATGATGGTGTGAACATGAGAAATAATTATGCTCTGGCAGTTCAATCAACCTCGAGTTTTAAAATCTCATAATATCTTTTCTGCATGAGTGAATTCTTCATTCGTCAGGATGATTCACATGAGTAGAAGTCCAAAGGGGAGTTCTTGCATAGTTTCTTGATGAATTTTGGTTATTAAAAAAGAATAAATCAATAGATACCTTATAAAGTTAAAAAGTATTTAAAGCAAGATAATTTTGGGGGAAAGTATGATGAGTTGTACGATAAAACCTAAGGTGTACTTTTACAAACTGTCTATGTAAGAGACTAAGAGCTAACTCTCTTAAACTTTCTGATTGTTTTTTAAGCTAAAGATAGTTACTGTGCTATCATTCGTTAGCGAAAACAGAATCTTACTTCATAAGCAAACCAAATATTCCCTTTTGTTTTTTGTTTTCCTTCACTTGGGACTGTCAAATCATATTGGCTTAACATCGAGTTCGGTGAAAAAAAACGTGATCAGGTATTTGAAGATGTAGAGTAGTTCTTCATTTACATGTTCTAAAAATCCAAAGAAAAATACATACAGCGTTGTAATCTTGAAATATTGGATCAAACAGCTCAAAGCTTTAGGGGTCGTTTGGTAATGTTTTTGTTTTCGTGTCTTAAAAAAAATAAAAAACAGAGACCATTTTTGTCTTTGTTTTGTGGTAAACACTGAAACAGAAAATATCTTTGGGAGTCATTTTTGTCTATCAAATTATGAGAATAAAAACCAAAAACATGTTTGGTAACTATTTCAAGTTTTATACAAAATATAAATAGTTGGGCTTTACAGCCCAAAAGAGTTGATTCTCATTTTCAATACGACACATCATTTATTTTTTAATGTTTGATACAATTTTTAGTAGTATTAATCCATCAAAGATCATCAAACTCATTCAATCTACTTTTTTTTAAGAAAGAGATTTTATTCCAAAGAATCAAAATAATTACAAGAAGCACAGAACAACAGTTCACAAGGAACATCACTAAGAAAGAAAAAAGCCAAATAAGGCTTTAATCCTTCAAAATACAAACAAAATTCTATACAACAAAACCTGAAAGCTCTTCCTTCAGCCATCATATTGGAACCCTCTATAGAAGAAAGATGCAGCCAACACCATACCTCCAGCCAACATCAATTTTCCATTCCCTGTCTTTGCAGAAATCCTGGAAACAGTCATAGATAACATGAATGTCAGTGCTGTATTTAGCATACTGAAAATTAGACTTGCAATACAACACTGGCCCAAAAGAAGAGGACAAAAACAAACAAGCACGAGTTTCTACCGNATAGCATGAATGTCATTGCTATATTTAGCATACTGAAAATTAGACTTGCAATACAACACTGGCCAAAAGAAGAGGACAAAAACAAATAAGCACGAGTTTCTACCAAGCTTTTACTTCATAAGGTTCCCTTGGCGATTCCCATCCTTGTCCATCATTGATAACCTGTACAGAAAACAAAAACTACCCATCGTTTACAATTAAAACTCGGAGAAAGGGATTTCCTAATTCCTAATAGTTATATCCATCAAACATTATTTACTCCTTTCTATCTATGCATCAGGTTTTAAGCGATCTTCATTCGAAAAATAAAATGTCAAATACCTTTTTTAAAACTCCCAAGGCTTCACTTATGACCTGAAAATAACATAAACAAAAACCCAAATTTAAAATTAAATAAAGGGTGCATTCGAATAATAAAAAATGTCATAAAAGGATGTTCAGCAATGGGTGAAGATAGCAGCATAGTTGCATTGCATTGCATCTGCAGAAAGATAATACCAACACAAACAGAAAACATCACGGACTATAATTCGAACTCCAAGCAAATGGTCGATAAGGCAAAATGTGGAACAGCCCCCACCAGAAAGGCCAGTTGCTCCACTAGCAGCACCATCCACATTCAACTTCAAAGCACCCCCATCAGGAGAATACCATTTCGCCCACAAGGATTGTTCAACACAACAAAACCTAGACTCCACTTTCAAAGCAGCCAGCACCTCCTTTCCTCTCACATCATCTGGGCTTTTGGGTCTCATAGCAACAGCTTGAACACCCAAATTCCTCAATACTAACAAGGACATAGTATATGACGACATTAAAACCCCTTCAAACCTTCTACAACCCAACCACTCTAATGCTTCAACAAGAAATTGATATCGAGATCTAAGAAAAAAACCACCAACAATCTGATTAAAAAATTCCAAGATTTACCATCACCTTTTCCCCATAATCACAACAAAAAGGGGTAAACATCAAACAACAATCTTTCGCCTCCTGCTTTGGAACCAAATTCTAAGCAAACCCAATTGAAAATATCAATCTGAAACCCCAAATTCTAACACCAAATCTCATAAAAAGAGACCACTATATATATAAAAAAAGATAATTCAGCTCTTGTTTCTTCAACTAAAACTAAGAAATACCCAACAACAAATGGATCTAAAATATCGAACCTAAAACTCCAATCTAACAACGAAAAATACCAAATAGCCAAAGAATAAATTCAAAAGTTTTCGGCACATAAAAGTCTAATTTTTTGCTTTTCTACCCAAATCAACCCAAGAGCCGACTTATCATCAGTTCACTTGGTCCCTTCATATTTATTCGAAATTTCCACAAATCCATACACTAACAGTATGATTATACCTGTCAAATCGACATACACATAGAGACTCACATATACAGCCCCACAAATCGACATCCACACCCATACACACAGAGACTCACCCACACACCCACAAATCGATACACACACACACACAAAATCTAACTTAGATTTAACAGATCTAACTACAAATCTAACTTTGATCTAACTCATGTAAGAGAGTAGCAGAGACAGACCTTTGGGTCTTCGTTGTACAGATAGGAGAGAGACCTTTGATCTTCGTTACTGAGAGAGAGCCGAGAGAGAGGTCTGACGAGTCTTGTTGCACAGACGAAGAAGCGAGCGAGAGAGAGAGTGATAGAGACAGAGAGTCGATGGAGAATGAAGTGAGAGTCTCGTTGCACAAAAAAGGGGAGAGAATGAAATGAGTTTTTATACTTTAACAAAAAAAAGATATGTTTTGCTCCTAAGAAGAGTCGAAGCTTGGATCTCATTAATTCCCCCCAACCCTCGCGTGTGTTGTCTCTGTTTTTCTTGTTTATTGGAACATCTTTATTTTGTTCCTATTTTTATTTTTGACAAAAAATGAAAACAAAAACACAAAACACAAGACAAAGACAGTAAACAAACAACCCCTTATAGTTTTGGTTAGTAAATTTGACTATTCTAAAGGCAGTTCTGTAGTTTAAAAGTTTACTTCTATTGCAAGAATGAAAAATATATGCAGCAAATTAGTTTGAAACTTCACTACAGCATCCTCAGTGTATGTATTTGCATGATTCACACCCATTATACTGACGAGACAAAAGTGACTGATGGAGTCCAAAATTGTTTCAAAAATGACTAATTTGTCCTTACTCCTTAGACATGACTAATAGACTAAAATGCCATTGTGTTTAGAAGTTGGATGACTTTTTTGCCTTAGAAGAAGAAGAACAGCGGTCCGATCACTTTCATATGCAAGTCTCCGCTACTCTTAGCATGCTAGCACTTCAACCACGCGCCTCCTCAACTTTCAAATCCTAATGTGAGAGAGAGAGAAAGATCACTGAGAAATGTGCCAGAGAGGGAAAGAGTGATGGAGAAATTGTCGGCAATATGTCTCATATTAGACTAAGTTTCTTGTGGTTTGGGTCTTGATTGCCTGGGATATCTACTTTAATTTCAATAATGATGGTGCTAGGTATTTTCTAGATTAATTTTTTCCATCGAGTATTCGTGGCTTGGTTTGTTTGTTTATCTTTTGGTATTGAATAGTGTATAATGTTAGGTTATTTTAATTGAGGGTATTGTTGTAATGCTCACTTTATTACGAGTTAATATAAACATGAGTGATGAGATGAGAGACTGGTTAACTCTCACTCTCCTTAACCCTATTCTCTTTCTTCTCTCTTCTCCCTTCTCTTGCCTTCTTCCATTTCTAAACCCTTGATCTTTAGATTTCAACTTGGTATTAGAGCAATAAAACGAAAGTTTGTAGTCACAGGAATATTACAGAAGGCTCTGGGAGGCTACTGTGCTGTTGATGTCATCGTCGGAATGATGATGTCATCGCTGGAATTTTCCAAAACCAACATATTAGAGTCGGTTTGGCCTCCTTAGTATAATGATTTTTTGGATTTTTTTTGAACCATCCGTTGTTTTTTTGATTTTTGAATGATTTTTGAGATTTACGGGTTGTATTTCGTGATCTACGATTCGGCTAAGTTTCAAACTACTTCGATGCCTCTAAAGAAATCTGTGGGTGTTTTGGTGGAGTTCTGAGCACATCCTGTTGTTTATTGGGCATTTATACGCTACAGTAGTGTTGTTTTCTCGGATAGTGTTTTTTCACCGGTAGTGGCATCCTCTTGCTCTAATCGTGTTATGTTGTATCGGCAGGGATACGTTCTTGCTTCAGCAGTTGCATTTTGCTTTGGACAGGTGTGCTTTGGCCTCAACTGTAGTTCTCTAGCCTCTGTTTTGTTTCGACAGTGACTGGTTTGTGTCTGTCGGTTTTAGCTTTGTGTTTTTTGATACCTCTATGAAGGTCCTTTTTGGAGTATAGGCTGCTTGGTTTTGTTTTCTGCATTTCTAGTTGCTAGTTTGGATCTCTTTTGTGTGAGGATAATCCCAAAATTGTTATCCAATAGTTGGGCTGTGTTAGAAAAGTTCTCTATTGTTAAGAAGACATGTTTGAAGTTAGTGCAGAGTACTAAGAAAGTTGGGGTGAGTCGTCTAGGGACTCATGGATGCAATCGTTTTCTACATATCAGTCCAATAAAATTGGATAGGGGCAACTATTTGGCTTGGTCTTGATTATGCCTGTTATTAGACAAGTGGGCTAAATGGATACTTGACTGGAGTAAGGGAAGAAACCCAAATATGAACTTAATCTTAGCAAGTGGGTCTCTGAGAACTCCTTAATAATGACATAGTTACTCAACTCGATATAGCGTCACATTAGCCATGATTTTCTGTTTCTTGAGACAGTCGGTAAGATTTGGGTAGCAGTGGCTTATATATATTCAGAGGTCGTGAATGATGTCTAGATTTATGAGCTCAAGAAGAAAATTCGTGAATCTAAACAGAAAGATATGACACTAGCAGAATAATACGCAAGTTTGAGTAGTCTGCGTGGTTGGAGTTGGATTATTACTAGTATTTTCAAGTAGATTGTGCTGGGATAGTGTTAAGTTTTGGAGGTTTATAGAAAAAGAACAGGTATATGATTTTCTTTAAGGCCTCAATATGAAGTATGATTAAATTTGTATATAGGTTGTAGCAAGGATTGAAATTTCGTTTCGAAGTACCGTTTCGGTCATCTAAAAAACGGAAACGTTTCGAAAACGTTTCGGAAATGCAATGGAAACGCAGAAAAAATATGGAAACGCGTGAAAACACAAATACAATCCATTAATCTATATCTATAAAGATAAGTTAAATAATTGATTAATTCAACATATTTATTGACTTAACATCCATTTATACAAGAATAAATTTAAATTAGAGGGAAAAAAAGACTTGACATGAGGCGAAAATCACTTAAATTAGTTTTAAACACTTAAATTTTTATCAAATAAACACATTTTTATATAATATTAAGGTCTCATAATACACATGAAATGCTAATGAGTACATACTTACATGGTTACATCCATCCCCCTATGGAGTGTCGAGCAGGCTCATACATTGATGTAGGCTCTGGGTAGCTACTTAGAGAAACTCTATATGTGACATAAATATGATGACAATAGTTACTCCAACTCATATTATTACGATAATATGAATTATATTCTCTCCCAAACCTCTGATAGTCTGCAACACTACATCTAATCTGTTGGGGAACGAATGCACCAGTCCCTGACCAATCTTTATCTTGTCTATATGAGGAGGATGTCTGGGAGTCATAGCTAGATCCATAACCATATGTTGAGGATCCATATTTGTATCCTTGTGTGTCATACCCGGATCCATAATTATGAGGGAATACCATATCCAGAACCATAACCATATGAAGACGACGAACCATAATTATGGTGTTCACTTCCACTTCCACTTATACTCATGGTAGAAAAACCATTATTAATCATATCAGTTCCATGCCTAATAGCACCCATACCATGTGGAGTGATCGGATTTTGAGTATGCTCACGTTGACAATCTCGAGTTGATTTTGAGCGTCGTTCATATTGAAGCATTCGTCGAGAG